CAAAGAACAAAAGAAAATAAATGGAGAATGAATTAAATTAAAGTTCTATAATATTCACAATTCGAGGAATTTGTTGCGAATGTCATAATTTCTTTCAAATATCTATAGTCGAATAAATTTTACTACGGTAAACCAAACAATCGATTCGATATTCAATTATTATGTTACTTATGTTTAAATGTGTCACTCAAGTGTTACACTAATTTTATTTTGGGACGCTATAGCGTCTAGAATTCCAATTTATAATTGTGCTGTACAGTGTACTCACTCCATCCAAAATTGGCTCCATTTTTTTGGTTGCGGCCTGTTTGGTTGGTTCAACCTCTGCCTTGTTAATGTTTTCGGAACAGTGACTTATTGTTTTTTTCTCTTGGTCTTTTTCCATCATTTTTTGTTGTAAATAAACATTCAGCTTTCGCAACTGATCATTTTCTGTTGTCAACTAATCAAAATTGTGATAATTAATCAATGGCTCAACTCAAAATGAATCGGAAAACATACTTTTTCGATAATTGCATCCTTGAAGCACGTATGAACATTGGTCTCCTTCTTGTGTATTACTGAATTTTGCTTAAGTTGCTGTTGTACATCGTCTAACGCCTGATCCGTCATACTGATTTCAATTTTTGTGTCATCATGGTTGTTTTCGGGCTGATTGTCTTTGGCAATTTTCGATGGAATTTGTTGCGGTTCATCAACAGCTATCATTACCAATTTACAAGAATATATGAATTTCTATTTATGTATGTATGTTTAAGTTCACGTTCTACTCACGTTTCCTTTTGTTTGGATTGGCCGGTGTTGAGTGTGCATTAGCTCCAATAAGAATCCAATCACCATCGCTACATGAATATTTGGTATTTGTTGTTGTTTGGCGATTCTTATTAAGTACAACTTGAATTGACCCAGATGATAATCTGTGAGTCGGAGTAGTCGGTTTGTGTTCCATACAAAATGCTTCGAATTTGATCGAATTATCGTTTGGATTAACATCTTCTTTAAGCGTCTTTTCATCTTGAGCACAAGTTACATGAAACTTATTCTTGCATTTTGCAAAAGAACAGGAAGTGCAATAACCAGTTTTGTTGTTGCAAAATGAACACAATTTTCCACGCAAGTAAGAAGGTATTTTCGATAAATTAACGGGTTCCATGGTTTTTTCGTTAGAAAAACTGACACCTTTCATAAAAAGACCGCATATAACATGTACCCAATTTTTACATTCGGTTTGTTTCATCGCACCACCTTTCTTGTGACATAATTTACATTTGGCGGACTTTTTCATTGCTAAGCGACATGGTGAACATTTCCAATTAATTGCTAGACCTTCAGCTCCATAACACAACTTATGCACTTTGAGGTCACAGCGTAAACAAATAAAAAGTGGATTTTTCTTTGTAATTTCATCATCACAAATGTTGCACGATGCCATTCTGGCTTTAACTGTATAAAAAGAAATAACCACATGTGTATGGAACAATACTTCAATTATTTTGTTCAGAAAGGTTGATTTGATTTCAAACTTAAATTCTTTATTCAATAAAGTGAATACTCACGGTGAAAGTATGCTGATTTTGTTTTCAAATGATGTTCAACTTATACCACTAAAATATCACTTTACGCTCGAAACACTTGTATCGTCGATTATATCATAGCAATCCTTTTTGCAACGACGACTGCTGTCGGCATGCGTACAAGGCGCGCGAGGTGCTTATGGTGAGATGCTTGACGCGCTCAAATCTTGTGCACTACATTCGACACACAAACACACAAACACACAAACACACAAACACACAAACATTCAAATATAATACGTGTGTCAACATTGATTTGAACTCGACCGTTAAAAACACAATTTATGTTCCGTGTGCATGCAAGCTGATCTTTGCCTTCAATAATTAATATATTGCGCTACGTAGCAGACATATTCTTTACATATTCTTATGCATCGAATTTTTATCGAAAATATATAAAATAGTGAGTTTTGTTTATATTTATACTAACTTTCGTCTTATTTGAAAAGAGTACAAATAAACAATGTAATTTTTTTCAATCAAAACAACCTTTTTTGCATCGCATTGGACATGTCCAATTGATTAAATGTTTTAAATGTGTTGCTCAACGATGAGTATAGAGACAAATTTCAGTTTTATGTGACTCATTTTGTGTTGTCAGTTTATTTCAGCATCATGGTGCGCGGTAAAAGAGCTCGATATTTTAGTTATTTTCAAGATATTGAACCGAATGCCAAAATTCCAAGGCAAACTAAATTCAATCGTCGAAATCGTGGAAAAAAGCAATTGCATAGTTTCAAATCCACAACGAATATTTCTTCAACGCCTGGTGACACTGAAAATTTAATGGATTTATCAATTGTGACTAATAACGATTCACAAAATCAAAATGCCACGTCACATAATTTTGAAGAGACATGCTCGTTTATTGATACCTCAGACTCTCAAATGGCAATGAACATGTCGGCCGTGAATGATGAAAGTGTTATAGCAAACGAAAGCATTTGGTCCAACGATTCGGTGTCGCCTATTGAACAATTTAATCATGAAGAAAATGAATTTGAAATGTACCCGGAATATTCAAAAAAAATTCATGATAGTTTGAATTGTACAGTAAGCGATGCATATACCATGATTTACGCATATTCAGTTCGTCATACTCTTAACTGGACTCAAACTGAAGATTTGGCCCGGCTGATTAATTCAGTCATTGGTAAAGAGTCACTCAATCCATCAAAATACACATTTAAAAAAATGTTTAAATCGACTGAAACCAAGACAAGTGTACATTTTTTTTGTCATGTATGTGAAAAATATTTAGGTGTTAAGGGACAGTTCAAAGAAACAGTGTGTACAAAATGCGATAGTGACATACACACGGATACAAAATATGAAAAAAATCACTTTGTGTCAATATCCATTGAAAATCATTTAAAAAATGTGCTTGAACAAAATTCACTGCATTTATTGTTCGATACGAAATCCACTTCGGAGGATATATGTGATGTACATGATTCGAAAAATTTTCAGCGATTGAAACGTGAAATGGGAGATGAACCTTACATAACATTGACATTATATACGGATGGTGCTGCTGTATTTAAGTCCACAAAAAATAAATCACTTTGGCCTATTTGCCTTTATGTTCATGAAATCGATCTTAATTACCGTTTCAAGCGAGAGAATATTTTATGTTCTGCAATATCTTTCGGAAAAAAACCGAATATGCAAGTGTTTTTCAGACCATTGATTGAAGAAATAAATGCAATAAATCGTAGAGGTGGAATACATTTTCGTGATAAAAATGAACAGTTAAGAGTAGTTAAAGTGGTTCCGATGATATTCACCGCTGATGCATTAGCTAAGGCTGATGTTTTAAATTTAATGCAACACAATGGCCATTATGGTTGTCCATATTGTTTGCATTGTGGAACAAATATAGAAGGAACAACACAAATCCGGTATTGTAAGAGAAACAATGCACCTGACAGAAAAAGCAATGTTGTAAGAGTGGACATGGTTCGCGCTCACGAATTGGGAACATGTATCAACGGATACAAAGGTCTTTCACCTCTCCTTGCACTCAATTATAACTTCGATATTGTTTGGCAAGTAGTCATCGATAAGATGCATTGTGTAGACATGGGCGTAATCAAGAAAATGTTTGACATGTTTTTGAACTTCAAATATCGCGAAGAAAGGTATGCGTGGTGCATATAAAAGGAATTATTTTGGATCACTTCAATTAATAAATTTTATTTAGTTTTTTTATCGGTGATCGATTACATATTCTAGATAGAAGGATGAAAGAAATTCGAATGCCTCGACTGATAAGGAGAAATTTTCGACCACTTTCACATCGCGAGTATTTTCATGCTTATGAGTGGAAATTTATTTTACTCTTTGTTGCCTACCCTCTTTTGAAGGGAGTTCTACCTGATCGGTACTCTATTTTATTATTTACAATTTGTTTTTTTAATAGCTCAGTATACAACAGTTTCTTATAAAACTGATTTGGTATTTGTTCAGAGCATCCATACTGATTGAGATACTGTTTTTTTTTAATTTATTCAAGGAATTCTGAACACTTGGGGAAATTAGTTGACGCTATGCATATTCTGAACAGCACACGCATAAGTGAACGGAAAAGAAAGAAGGCAACTAAACTATTAAATTCATTCGTTGACGAATTCGAAGATCTCTATGGAGAAATAAATATGGTTTACAATGTTCATCAGCTCAAACACTTGACTGAATGTGTGAACCGAAATGGACCACTCTTTGCATACTCAAATTACCCAATGGAAGATTTCATAGGTCATTTAGTATCTTTCGTAAAAGCGCCAACAGATGTAACAACTCAAGTTAGCTCACGATACATTTTGGAAAAAAATTTGCTTGTTCACTTACACAAATCAGAAAAAGCGCGCGATTTTTATGATAAAAT